TTTTTTTTTTTTTGGCGGTACGTGGGCCTCTCACTGCTGTGGCCTCTCCCGTTGCGGAGCACAGGCTCCGGACGCGCAGGCTCAGTGGCCATGGCTCATGGGCCCAGCCGCTCCACGGCATGTGGGATCTTCCCGGACCAGGGCAGGAACCTGTGTCCCCTGCATCGGCAGGCGGACTCTCAACCACTGCGCCACCAGGGAAGCCCAAGAAACTTCTCTCTTTTGTAAAAGTTTATTTTTTTACTTTTGATCCTCAGACCTTATTCAGCATCTAGTTGAAATGTAAAAATTATTGAGATGTGGTTTCTTTGAACACTGATATAGCCAAATGGATCAAGTGTGATTTGATCATATGATACTATCTTTATCTTGGACATTATTTCTGTGTTAACAATAATCCAGTGCATGTGTTCCCAGTGAAGTTACATCGTCACTCACATGTTTCAGCCTTCATTGGTTATATACAAGAATAAAGTTGTACATCAGCAGATTCAAATAATTTTGGAAAGGTGAATACAAATTTTAATGTGTTAGAGTTTTGTACACTCAGAAGCATTGTACAAGTGCTAGTAGTTGAATTGTAATTGTGATATCAGATTTGGAACATAAGATTTGGTTAGGTAAATTGAAGCTATATAGAAGTTAATATACAGAAATCAGTAAACTCAGTATATACAAATAACTTCCAATTGGAAATATGAAGGAAGCTAAGGCTCCATTTAAAATAGCAATTTTGTGGGATAGGGAGGGTGGGAGGGAGACGCAAGAGGGAGGAGATATGGGGATATATGTATATGTATAGCTCATTCACTATGTTATAAAGCAGAAACTAAGACACCATTGTAAAGCAATTATACTCCAATAAAGATGTTAAAAAAAAAAAAGAAGGAGCATGGGGGCTTCTAAGTAAAAAAGGACAAGTGCTTTAAGCATTTGGGAACTCAATAAAATTAATTTATTTTTTAGCACCTTAAAAAAGTAAAATAGCAATTAAAAAAATGCCTTTTCATAAACTTAACAAAATCTATATGTTTAGAACTTTAAAAATCTCCTGAGGTACATAAAAGCTTACTTGAGCAAATGAAAAGGCAAAATATATTTTTGGGTAATACTCAATGTCATAAAGTTGTCCATTCTCTCTAAGTTGCTTTGTAAAATAATGCTATCTCCATAAAAATGGCAACCTTATTGTTGTTGTTATTATTATTATTTTTGGTGGGTGGTGGTATCTGGAATTAGATAGCAGATTCTAAAGTTCAAATGGAAAGAAATTAGCAATAATAGGTTGGAAAACTGAAAAAGAAAGAGTAGTGAGGTTGAGTAAGTTCTACCAGATTTGAAAAATATATTGTAAAGTCTCAATAGTTAAAATAATATATTATTGGAACATAAATAGATCAATAGACTAATGGAATGAAATAGAGGATCAGAAGTAGATCTAAATACATGCAGGAATTTAATATATGATAAAGGCATCATCTTAAATCAGTAGGGTAAAGGTTAATAAATGGTATTAGATAATTAGCCAATTATAAGAAAGATAAACTTAGATTCATATCTCAAGTATATCAAACATTTAAATGTAAAAAAAATAAAACTGTGACATTACAAAAAGATAACATGAGTTCCTATGTATCCGTGGAGTGGAAAACACCTTTTAGCTATTGCTCAAAATGTAGAAGCCATAAAGTTAAAAGACTTACACATTTGACAACCAAATAAAAAAAGAAACGGAAATAACTTGGATGGTGAGCAAAACAAAGCAAAAGCAAAGAAAACTACCATGAGGAAAATCAGAAGATAAATGGTATGGGAAAACATTTTTATAGGATATAAAACCAGCTGGTAATCTTTCTATATAAAAAATTCCTAGAAATCAAGACAGGAGAAACATTCAGTAGAAAATTAGGTGAAAGATAAGACCAGGGAGTTCACATACAGATGGCCATTACACATTTAATAAGATTCTTCTTCTCATTCATAATAAGGAAATTAAAATTAAAACTATGTTGTGATTTTAGTTCTTTCCTTTTAGATTGGCAAAAACCCAAATGTTGCATGACAGTACTTTGCTGTTAAAGTGAGTGAGTGAAATGACATCCTTGGAGAGGTAGTCTGGCAGTATCTACCAAAATTATATGTATTTATGTTTTGACCCAGCAGTTCCACTGGCAGGGTTATTAACAGATGACTGGTTAAATAAGCTATAGTATATTCGCACACTGGAATACTATGTAGCTGTATTTTTTTTTTAAAAAGCAATGAGGAAGATTTCTAAAGATAGATGAAAAGATTCTCTATGATATTAGTGGAAAATAAAGCAACGGCAGAACTGAATCACTTTTTCTGTAAGAGAAAAGGAAAGGGAATATGCTTATATTTGAAAAGAGATACTGGAAGGATAATAGTAAACCAATAAAAATGATTTTACTTATTAGCAATGTGTGGAGTGGGGAAAAGGGTAAAGAGTGGGATCTAGATTTCTTTGTGTCGATGAAAATTCAATTAACAATTAAGCTAAGAAGAAATAAAGATAATTTTATTTGAGCCAAATGAGGATTGTAACGTGAGAGACAGATTTTCAGAAGCTCTGAGAATTGTTCCACTGGTCAGGAGTTAGAGAGGCGTATGTTTTTGAGAGAAAGAATCATGTATCATATTGACAAGTTAAAATTATAAATAAAGTTCATCAGAGATTTTTTATAGTCAGGTATGCACATACAGAATGAGCCTTTAGTCAGTGTGATCCCCTGTACAGGATGGGAAAGGAACATTAATTTTAAAAATTACAATGCTGGCATTAGAAGAAAGAGACTGTTTTTCTCAAAGTTGATTACATCCTCCTACCTTGAGGGGATCTGGTTAATGTATAATGCAGATGCACATTGAACATTGGGAAAGGCATGTTATGTGTATTTCAATTCTGACTTAGTTTGGTTGTCCTGTTGTAGAGATTTTAGATCTATAAGACATTGTGCATAGAAGTGTATGTAAAAGCTGTGAGACACACACACACACACACACACACACACACACACACACACGCACCCCTACCCCTTTCTCTGTACAGTGTCTTTTCTCTTTCCCATTCTTAAGTTATGGCTTTTTTGAAACCAAGCAGCAACAGCTTTGTTGGAAGATGGTCTAGTGAGGGGACATGGCACCGTAGACATTGGCCTTCTAGGAGCAGAAATTATGCTTCAGTCCTGGAATTGATATATGTTTGTCCCTTTCTTCCCTCTAGCAAATTGCTTCTTGTTTCAGAGATTGGACATATATAGTTACCTCAGCCTGGAATGCCTTTCTAGCCCTCCCATTCTTCTTCTTTCACCTTAACTCCTATGCTTTTTTGTAGTTCCAGTTTAAATATCATTTCTGATCTGCCTAGACTAAGTTAAGTCTTTCTTGGACAGTTCACATAAACATCATTGCTCCTTAATCTCTTATCTGTAAAATGGGGATAATAATAGCACTTACTTCATAGAGTTGTTGTGAGGAATAAAAGAGTAAATATATGTAAAACAGAAGAGTACCTGACCAGATACTAGGTGCTATGTGAGTTAACTGTTGCTATCATTATTATTTTTATTAGACATATCTGAAATAGTGTATTTAATTATACTAATTTGTCTATTTGTTAAATATCTCCTTCTCCTGTTAGATTGTTAGTTCCACGAGGAAAAGAACTGTTTTATTCACTTCTTTTCGCTAGTGCTTGGTACACATAGTATTCAGTTACTTTTGTTGACTCATCAATGGTGGTTTGCAATAGTAGATAAGTCAGGCCAGCTGGGTTTTGAAGAATGAACATACTGGTAACTGTGGTAAAGCATTGCAATGTTTTTAGGAGTATCAGAGAACTTGGTGGATTGCAATTTTGGTAGTTGTGAGCAGTGAAAGCTCTAGACCCTGTTCAGGAGGGAGAGGAGAACAAGAGGAATAAAGCAAAAAAATTTTTTTTTTATTTATTAATTTTTATTGGCGTCTAGTTGCTTTACAATGTGTTAGCTTCTACTGCACAGCAAAATGAATCAGCCATGCATATACATATATCCCCTCCCTTTTGGTTTTCCCTGCCATTTAGGATACCACAGTGAACTAAGTAGACTTCCCTGTGCTATACAGTATGTTCTAATTAGCTGTCTATTTTATGCATAGTATCAATAATGCAGTAGTGTATATGTGTCAATCCCAATCTCCCAATTCCTCCCACCCCACCCCTTTCCCCCTTGGTATCCATACATCCATACATTTGTTCTCTATGTCTGTGTCTCTATTTCTAAAGCAAAAAATTGAAATACATTCTTCTTCCATGCTAGACAGTACAGCCTTCTGGTCCTAAGCTCAGCTATTATTAAAAATGTAACTGTCCAATACATGGATGCATTCTCATATCAAAAGATTAAACTTACATATATATGAACACACATTGAAATATGTCTCATTTGCATTTCTCTTCCTATTCCTACATCTCCCCAGTTTTTTTCCATTAAAATGTTACTTACATTAGCTTGTAATGGGTATATTGTTATATTTAAATAAATTTATAAATATTTTAAAATTCCTCAATTTTAATTTCTAATATGGGAAAATATTGATACATACATCACACATAAACAAAATGCCTTTGGGATCCTAAATAATTTTTAAGAGCATGAATAGGTTTTTGAGATCAAATAATTTGAAAACTGCTGCAGTATATAATTAAGTCCCAACAATGAACATTGTGTAGACCATTGTAATATAGAAAAATTCCTGTGATTTAATAATTTTGGTGAGAAAAGTACAGTTAAAAAATGCCACAAATATTATTATAGCTATGAGACAAAGAATAGAAAACAGTACTGGAGAAAATACAGTAAAATGCAAATAGTCATTATATTAAGGTTATGTTATTTTGAATTATTTCATCCTTGGTTTTTCCAAAGGTTTTTATGCTATAATTTATATATGGTGGGAAATCTGTTAAAATATGAATGGGAATAATGTCTCCCTTTCAGAAGCTCTGTAGTGATGCTCAAGTTAAAGTCTTTGGGAAATGCTGCCAACTGAAACCTGGAGGAGACAGTTCTTCCTCTTTAGATAGTTCCATGACTTCATCTTCTGATGTAAAAGACCAGTGTCCTAAGTACCAGGTAAGATCACTGATGTCTTTTATTCATTCACAAGTATTTCTTTTTTTTTTTGCGGTACGCGGGCCTCTCACTGTTGTGGCCTGTTGCGGAGCACAGGCTCTGGACGCGCAGGCTCAGCGGCCATGGCTCACAGGCCCAGCCGCTCCGCGTCATGTGGGATCTTCCCGGACCGGGGCACGAACCTGTGTCCCCTGCATCGGCAGGCGGACTCTCAACCACTGCGCCACCAGGGAAGCCCCACAAGTATTTTTGAGTGCCTACAACGTGTTGTATACCATCCTGGGGACTGAGGATGTAACAGGGACTAGTGCTTACCCTCCTGGAGCTTACAGTATAGCTGGGGAGACAGATAATTAAGTAGGTAAGTTTATGAACTTTGATAAATCTTAGGATAGGGGAAGCATAGAGAGCTTTGGGCACAGGTAGCAGGGGCATTTTCTCCTTTTTATTTCCCATTCCATATTTTTTAGGCTACCAGAATAATGTCTTATTTTATATACTTTTTAATTATTGAAATATGAAGGTAAATATAATACAAGTCAGCTGTAGTATGAAATTAAAATATGGCTGAAGTATATGTTATCAGAAATGTACATTTTCATTTTTCAAAATTAATGTGGCTGTTGTTTTAAAATATGGAATTAACCAATCATTTGACTATATAGGAACTTCTCTGTAAACTTATGTTATGTTGTTATATTTTACATAGGATCAGTACTTGGTTTCAAATAAGCAAATGTCATCTAATGTGAATTTGTGTCATTCAAGCTTGCATGAATGAATCACAGGTATTTTACATTTAGCAGTACCAAAATAGAATCCTGGACCTTTAGATTATTTATACTTAGGTAATTGTTTTTGGATAGAAACTAACCCTTATACCATATCAACATGACAGTATATGTGGAACAGCTTCAAAGTTATAAACGTCCAGATGTTAGGACTACCTACATAGTATGTAGTCCTAATATCTACATAGGTCTGCCTGCCCTCCTCTATTCCTCTTCCATCTTAAGCATGTTACCCTAACAGGTTCCTAATAGTGCTGTGCTATGTAGGATCATTATACTTATGCCAATGTACAAGTTTTCTAATTTGATCAACTGTACAAACTTGCCTTTCTTCCTAATGTTATGCAGTTAAATAGTATTAGCAAATGGATCCAGACTGTAGAAACCCTGAAACAGTGAGTGATTATAATTCTCATTTTGCATCAAAAATCCCTAGAGTTTTTTTTAAGTACAGGTTCCCAGGTTATATGTCTAGATATTCTAGTAGTAGGTTCATTATGGTCTTGGAAATCTGCTTTTTTAGCAAGAAGGCATTGAATTATTATAGCATATGGTTCACTACACTTGATAAAGTGTTATTTCAGGTAACTAGAACATTATTTTTGATTTATGGGGTATTACAGATTATTGCTTTCAGCAATGAGTACTTACAAAGAATTGAACTTTTAAATAAGAGCCTTTTAAAAAAAGCATTAAAGATAATAGCATTTTCTTAATTATATTCTTCATTATAGATTATGTCACATTAAAGTATATAACATGTCAGTGACATTCATGATAACTATTTGGTATGTATTAGAGCAGGCAGAGAGAACCTTTAATAGCAAAGTATGTGGTTTCATAAAATTTATACACCAATTTATTTTTACTGTATTTTGCCTTCTGAGAATTCTTTTTTAATTATAATATTAAAATGTTTAAATGACTTGATATTTAATATAAGCTTGTTTAATATAAGAAATATTATTTTTAGTCAAAATAAGAATGGAGTTAGATGCATTGTAACAAAAATGAGCTTGTAAGAGAAGGTTCTCATTTCTCTCATTATCCAGAAGCAGTTTAGTTTGCCAAGTAAGATTGGTATTGTTGATCTTAAAAGAAAAATAAACTACTTTATCATTTAAAAAATTATTCTACTCTGTTTCTAAAATGTTTGTAATACCTAGACTTCTGGAAATAAAAACTTTGTCTTAACCAAATCCCAAGAATAAATGAGTTGCTTCTTGTAGTAACCTAGGTATATCAGAAGTGATTTTTTCTTAAAAAATAACTTTGTGCCTTTATTAAAATTAAGACTATAGCACTGAGAAAGAAAAAACAATATGTCAATGAATGTATTAAAAAACGAATGTGAACATAGTATGTATAATGAAATGGATTGCTATTTGAAGATGTTCTTTTTAAGAAAGGTGACAAAATGTAAATATATAGATTTTTTTTTAACCCAAGGCAGGTAGTAAACAAGCAAACGAGTAAAAGAGAATCACATTATAAAAAGAAAAGTAGTATGTAGATGTATTCCCTGGCTTTCACTTGTAAAATGGGGGTCCTCATCACTTTATTGTTATCTTCAGAAGAATCTTTTAAGTATTTTTAAAAACTCCTAATTCTTGATTTCCCATGGTAGAATGGCATAGTGAAATTTGTGCATAATCCTCATTTACTATCTTAGATAGTTTTTTGGTCATCTTTCTCATCAGTTTTATTATGTTAATTGTATTGGTTAGGAATTGCATTGGGATATGCTATGAAACAGTGGCTGAAACAAATCAGGGATTGGTTTCTTCACATGACAAGTCTGCAGAGAGGCCATCTAGGCACGATAATTTATGGGCTTCAAGATGGCCTCAGAGACCAAGGCTTCCTTATCTTTCTACTTAGCCAGAGTTACTGTGTACATACTTGTTGCCTTGTCGTCCTCTTATGGTGTCTTCATCTTCAATGATTTCCATTTATATTCCATTGACCAGGACTGTGTTGAATGCATGTAAATGGATAGTTCTGAAAGCTACCACTCCAACCATTGGTTTAACTCTTTGAATATAGAGACCAACTCGAAATCCCCTATCTGCAAGGGAGGCTCTGAAATGCAGTTTTTTTCATTTGGGCACATTGTTTCCTTGAAACAAATTGTACTTCAAAAAATAAGGAATAAGATATTTGGTGGTTAACTAGTTGTATTTGCCACAGTATATAAATGGTAACCAAATGGATAAGTCAATTTTTAGATTTTTTTGACTCCTACGAGGACAATTAAAGAATAATGGAAAAGAATAACTTTTTAAATCAGAATTCTTTGCAAACAAGACATTCTAATGCTTAAGATAAGTCTTTTAAAAAAAATGCAAAATATGTCCAAGTTACCCCTTTTGCGAATGCTTCTTTTTGCACAATAGGAGCGGTAAAATCTGTTCAGCATGTTCAGTGAATTCTACTTCTTGTTATCTGTCCTGGAGAAGCATTGCATATGCCTAAGATGTGGCTAAGAATGTTTATTTGAGCGTTATTTGTAATAGCAAAAAACAGGAAGTAAGTTAAATGCCTGTCATTAAGGGGAACAGGCTTGATAAACTGGTATTTTCATATAGGAGAATACTATGCAGCTCTTAAAAGGAATCTATGTATAACAATATGCTTAGATCTATAAGACATTGTGAAATGAAGAAAATCAAGCTGCAGAACAGTGTATACAACGTAAAATCATTTAAAAAACATTACGTAGAATACAGCAAAGGAATTATTAATAAAAATCAGTTTTTGAAATAGGTTTTAAATTCTGCAATTTTATTAATGTTATGCTTATTGTTTAGGGTTCTCGATGCTCTTCTGATGCCAATATGCTTGGAGAGATGATGTTTGGCTCAGTAGCAATGAGCTACAAAGGCTCCACCTTAAAGATTCATCAGATCCGGTGAGGGATTTTCTGATTTTTCTTAATGAATCCATTTTAGAATGTTTAGTTTTTTAAAGATGGGAGAATTTCATATAGTCTTCACTCAGATTGAGAATGTCAGATACTAAGTTTATGATGTTTTATGGGTTTAATGCTACTTCATGGCTGTTGTAACTATGCTGTGACATCTCTGTGACTTAAACATTTTTATTTGTAATAAATTGGAAAGGTCCTTGTGTTTCAGTTTCGATGTCTCTCTATCCCTCTCTTTTTCTTCATAGTTCCCCTCCACAGCTTATGCTCAGCAAAGTTTTTACTGCACGGACTGGCAGCAGCATCTGTGGAAGTCTCAATACGTAAGTAGTTATGGATCAAGGGAGAAATGAATTCTTTAAGATCTGCAAAGTATGAAAACGAATAAGCTGCTTTCAGGATTGCAGCATAAATTCAGATTTTATTCCATCCCTTCAGTTTGAAAGTTTATGGAGGCCAGATTTTTTCCCCCAGCTTTGTTGAGATATGATTGATATACACCATTATGTAAGTTTGAAGTATATGGCATGTTGATTTGATACATTTATATATTGCAAAGTGATTACCACCATAGCCTTAGCTGCTACCGTCCTGTCACATAATTACCATTTCTTTTTTGTGGTGAGAATATTTAAGATTTACTCAGTTAGCAACTTTCAAGATATAACGCAGTATTATTAGCTATAATTAGCTTGCTGTGTATTAGACACCCAGAACTTGTTAATCTTATAACTAGAAGTTTGTACCCTTTGACCATTTTATCTCCATTTCCCCTACTCCCAGTCCCTGGTAAGCATCACTCGGCTCTCTGCATCTCTGAGTTCGGCTTTTTTTTTTTTGCGGTACGCGGGCCTCTCACTGTTGTGGCCTCTCCTGTTGCGGAGCACAGTCTCCGGATGCGCAGGCTCAGCGGCCATGGCTCATGGGCCCAGCAGCTCCGTGGCATGTGGGATCTTCCTGGACTGGGGCACAAACCTGTGTCCCCTGCATTGGCAGGCGGACTCTCAACCACTGCGCCACCAGGGAAGCCCCTGAGTTCGGCTTTTTAATTTCTTTTTAATTAAACAAAATTTTTAAAGTTATTTATTTATTTATTTATTGGCCATGCCTTGCGGCTTGCAGGATCTTAGTTTGCCAATCAGGGATTGAACCCGTGCCCCCTGTAGTGGAAGCACAGAGTCCTAACCACTGGACTGCCAGGGAATTGACTTTGTTAGATTCCCCATATAAGTGATATCATACAGCATTTGCCTTTCTCAGTCTGACTTATTTCACTTAGCATAATGCCCTGAGGGACCAAAGTTGTTGCAAACGGCAGGACTTCCTCTTTTTTTCTTTTCATGGCTGAATAATATCCACTGTCTATATATATACATGACAGTCTTTTTTTATCCATTCATCTGTTGACAGACGCTTGGGTGTGGCTGTATTCCAGTAAAACTTTATTCACAGAAATAGGCAGCAGACTTAATTTAACCCTCAGGGTGTAGTTTGCTAACCGCTGATTTAAATGATTAGTTGGTTTATAGTACTAATAGGGAAGCTTAAAACTTAAAAAAAAAAGTTTTACACTTAAAGTTTGAGGTATACAAAGAATTGCCATTAAGAGCATAAAACGAATTTGGAATTTATTTTTTTCTCCTCCCACTTAGGCTGCAAGACAGTCTTGAATTCATCAATCAGGACAACAGTACATTAAAGGCTGATAATAACACAGTTATTAATGGATTACTTGGAAATATAGGTAAAACGGTTTTATACATTTTAAAAATGTTCTTAATAGTGTAGATAATAATGTTCTTAATAATGTTAGAAGACCAAAGAATTTCAAATACTAGAAGTGGAAAAGGGATTTAAATTGCAAGAATGTGTAATATTTATATTATTTGAAAAATTTAGTTTTCATATATTTGAACATAATGTTTATTTTGTACCAGATAAAAGAGAACTGCTGAAGAAATACCTAATTTGTTTTTTGGTTTTAATTTCGATGCATCTTTGAAAAGTACTTTTGTTGATGTAAAAAGCCCTTACTAACTCTCTTGAATATTTCAGCTGAGGGAGACAGGTATTATACTTTCTCCCTTTTCTTTTCCCTAACCATAGAGTAATTTTAAAATGGTGCTTGTTTTTTTGACCTGTAATGCAGATGAGCAGATATTCAAATTTGATGTTTCTTAAGAGATTTATTAAAATAGCAGCTTATTTAGTAATTTGGTTAGTTTATTGTTTGTTATTTAAGTTCAACATTTTAAAGTGACAAACTGTTTCTAAAATTTCTGGTCCTTTGTTTTATCTTAGAAAGATCAAATAAATTACTGCTGACCATATTTCCAGTGCAAAACGAACTGTAGTGTATTAGAGAGTGGACAGCAGTTAGAATAGGATGAATGTATGCTAACACATATATATGGAATCTTAAAAAAAAAAAAAAGAAATTGGTTCTGAAGAACCTAGGGGCAGGACAGGAATAAAGACGCAGACGTAGAGAATGGACTTGAGGACGTGGGGAGGGGGATGGGTAAACTGGGATGAAGTGAGAGAGTGGCATGGACATATATACACCACCAAATGTAAAATAGATAGCTAGTGGGAAGCAGCCGCATAGCACAGGGAGATCAGCTCGGTGCTTTGTGACCACCTAGAGGGGTGGGATAGGGAGCCGCAAGAGGGAGGTGATATATGTATATGTATAGCTGATTCACTTTGTTATAAAGCAGAAACAAACACACCATTGTAAAGCAATTATACTCCAATAAAGATGTTTAAAAAAAAAAAAGAATAGGATTGTTTCTTTCATTCCTTGTTTAGTAGAATTAATTTTTTTTTTTTTTTTTTTGTGGTATGTGGGCCTCTCACTGTTGTGGCCTCTCCCTTTGCGGAGCACAGGCTCTGGACGCGCAGGCTCAGCGTCCATGGCTCTCGGGCCCAGCCGCTCCGTGGCATGTGGGATCTTCGTGGACCGGGCACGAACCCGCGTCCCCTGCATCGGCAGGCGGACTCTCAACCACTGAGCCACCAGGGAAGCCCTAGTGGAAATTTTTATTTGTAATTAATTTTAATAAATATCAGTTATACATATTAGTAGAAAACAGTTTTTTCTCCCACCTTTAACAGTATAGCATCCTATTATTTTTTATAATTCATGTTCATTCAAATAGCAGCTATTAATTAAGTACCTACTATGGGCTAGTTGCAGTGTCAGACATGTGTTTTAGAAAGCATGCATTTCATAGAAAAATAGAAGTTCTACTTTTTCTTAACTTGATTAGTTCATTCATTTTAATAAAGCAAAAATGTGACAGAGAAATGTGTTTTTCTTTATAATTTGATACTTTTCAAAGCTAAAGGGGCTTATTAAAAGCTATTTTAATAATACAAATCCATTATGTATAAAGGTAAAGTACACTATAGTTGCTAGATATACTCAACTTCTGTTTTAACATGGAATAGGAAATTAATGCATTTAACAAAGCACAGACTTTGTTATGAACGGCTTTTTCTTGCACATCCTTAATTGTGAATCAAGGATATTTGAGCACCATTTCTTATTTTCTTTAAATTTCTAGTGAATCAACAAGTACTTATCAAGCACTTATTATATGCCAAGCACTCTGCTAGGCCCTGAGAATATAGTGGTGAACCAGACACAGTTCCTGCCTCAACAGATTTTTAGTTAGTGGAAGTCAGACAAGCAATACAATACAGTATACAATTACAGTATACTGTAGTTAATTTTTGGACAAGACTAAGAGCATGTTGTGATAGAAATGAGGAGGAACACCCAGTTCAGTCTTGGAGTATCACAAAAGGCTTTTTTAAAGAAGTGAGCCTAAACTTGAAGAATTAGCCTGACAGTTGGGAAGAGAAATGTTCTAGGAAAAAACAGTAGCATGTGCACAGACCTAGTGCAAGAGATCATTGAGTGTGGAAAGAATATGAACAAATCAGTGTGGGTGGAGCACAGTGTGGATATAAGTAAAGGAAGTAAAAGGAAATAAAGAAGTGAGCAAGAGCCAGATCATGAAGGGCATTGTGGGTTACAATGAGGAATTTGGACTTATGCTTTGGATAAGCAGTTGGGTACCAGTGAGAGTGTGTTAGTTTGGGTCTTCCTCCTGGTTTTTAACAGGTGCCAAGACAGGTTTAAACATGCAAGGATTTTATTATTACTAGGTGAGAGAAATGAAGAGGGAGCTGGGAAGGGTTCAGAGAGCCCTCAGATTGTGGTGCAAGTTTGCCTTGAGTGAAAGAGAGGAATAAAAGCTTGAGTGGACATGTTCCAGCCTGCCATATAGTCCAAGGAAGGTTTGATAAGGCTGTGGATGAGTCTTTGAGTCAGAGTTGGTTGTCAGAAGTGACCCATGTCTTGCCAAAATGGGCCTGCCTTACTATAGCTACTGTGTTTAGTCATTGGCTAGGCGCAGCCTGTGGGATATGTGGCCCTGCACGAGCATGGCAGTGAATTTAAGAACACAGCAGTTGGGGTGCTTGGTCATTTGCAGTTCTTATAGCTGGAGAGTTTTGTGGTGCATTCTCAAGGCAACAACAGAAGAGTTTTCACAATATAGAAACATGATCAGATCAGATTTTTATCTGCAAAAGAATATTCCAATTGCTGTAGGAATAGATTCAGATGAGCCAGTGGGATTGAGAAAACACCCATGTTAGAAGGCTGCTTATGATAGTCCAAGTGACAGATAATGGGGATGTAGAGTAAAATTGTGTCCATAAGGATAAAGAGTTGTTGAGAACTTTGTTGGGAGAAATAGAGTAGACTGGACTTGGTAATTAGGTAGAAGAGGTGAGGGGAGAGGGGGAGTCAGGGATGGCACTGAGCTATCGGGTTGTGTAATTGCATGGATATTGGTTCCATTCACTGGGAGGAACATGAGAAATTGGGAGTTGATGATTTTAGGTTTAGGCATGTCGAATTGGAATTATTGGTAGGATATCCAAGTGAAGATACCCATTGTAGTTAGAGAGAGAGAGAGATGTATTCTGGTGGTAGCTGCTGGAAGATAATGAATGTATAATAGTTTTAAAACAATAGAGGTTTTTTCTCACAATTTTCCTTAAAGCAGTGTTTTAGAGGTCCAGTCTCCTTCCTTCTTGGAGTTCTACCTTCTTTACAATATGGGCTCCAAGGTTGTGCTCACCTACACAAAGCCAGTGGAAAGATTGAGTATGGAGAAGGCACATTCCCTTCAAAACCACCTGAACCTGAAAGTGATATACATCACTTTTGCTCATATTCCATTGGTGGTAACTAATCATACAGCTTCACCTGTATATAAGGAGGTTTGAGAAATATGGTCCCTAGCTGGCCAGCTGCTTCCCACAGACTACTTGATGTTATGCAAGGGAGAACACAGTCCTTTTTTAGATTGTTAGCAGTTTCTACCATGGATTTGAGAATTATTATCATATAAATGATAATTGAAAGCATAAGAATGAATGAGAAGGAAATATTGTTGAGGATAGAACCCTGGGGATGCTGGCTTTAAAGATGGAGTAGGAGAAGAGAATCACATAAAGGAGACTAAGAAAAAAAAAACTTAGTGTGTGTTATCACGAGAACTGAGGGAAAAAAGTTCAAAGTGTAATGTAGTCAGCATCAAATATGATGTAAGGTAGTGTAAGATAGTATGGAGTGCATTAAGTAACAGGAAGGCTTTTGGTGGTGGCCTATGTGAGTAGTTTCAGTGGGGAGAATAGAAGCCAAAGTTGAGGAAAGACTCAGAGGTTAGTCTTCTTTTCTAAGATGTAAGCAGACATCCTCAAACTTCTTGGTTTCAGGACCCTTTTACACACATAGAAATTATTGAGGACCACAGAGAGCTTTTGTGTATGTAGGTTACATTTATTGATATATACTGTATTAGAAATTAAAATTCAGAAAATTTTTAAAATATTTACTTAGTAACTCATTAAAAATAACACTAATAACCCTTTTTATGTTAATATAAATAACATGTTTTGAAATAACTATACTTTCCAAGACAAGAAAACTTCGAGTGGCATTGTTTTACATTGTTGCAAAACTTTTTATTGTCTGGCTCAATAGAAACAGCTGGATTCTCATATCTTCTTCTGCATTCAGTCTTTTGTAATATGTTGTTTTGGTTGAAGTGTGTTAAGAGAGTATAGTTTCACATAGATATGTAGCTAGAAAAAGGAATGTCCTCAAGAATCCCTTGAAAGGGTTGCAGGGTCCCCTTAGGGGGTCCTTGGACCACATTTTAAGAACTACTGAACTATAGGATTAGATATAGGGGAGAAGGTAGAAGAGTTCTGACTGTATTTAAATGTTGATGGAAAAGGAGGTTATAAGGAGGATGAGGTTGGAGATAGAGGTGATACTGGTAAAGTGGAAGGGCCTAGCTGACTTAGAAGAATTAGCTTTGGAAGGGAGGAAGGGAGGTACCTCTCAGGATTTTTCACAGATAGTCCCTGCACATAAAGGGGACTTGAATAATGTTACTTGTTATTACTGCTCAGGCATGAAGGAGGCAGGGATGAAAGTTGATTAAGTTTGGAGATTACGTTTGGATATAGCATGGTAGGAGAAGGAGAGTTCCCTTATGGTGATTCTTCATGTGTACAAACGTATACATATGCATACTGTACGAGACAAAGTCATGTGCTGAGAGTAAGAAGAGGTGGTAGGGAAGGAGATTAAAGAGAGCAGGTAAGTTTTGAGGTAACTAGGAAAAAATTAAGAAGGAACTGAACAATGAAAATGGAAGGTTTGCTGCACATGCACTATAATTATAGAAACTCTTGTTATAGAAAAATACCTATTAGCAATTTGAAAAATACATTTGTCACTTTTTAAAACGGAAAAGTCCCCAGTTCTATCCTAGATAAACCTCCTAGATGGCTATTTAGGCCATCTTGATGAAGCATAACTAACAAGTAACTCAGCTGCTTGCTTCCAGGCTGGAATGTTACCCTCTCTGGGTCTTCAGACTCTTATATTCTCTTGGTCAAGTGTGTGACAGCTACTTATCTTGGGCAGCTGGGAGTCTGGCCCTGACAGGCTGCATTGGCTTTCTTGCTTCCGTAGTGGCTGACCCCTGCTCTAGGAACTTTGGTTTCTTCTGTTACTTTATAATTTACCACTAGTTTAGAAAAACCAATTTTATACTTATTTGTCAGTAGACCCCTTTTCTTTATTTGCTCTTTGTTTTATTTTGTGTTCTGTTTTTTCAGCCAAGTGCTTAGGTGGTTTTCTTCTTAACTGTAGTTGCACAATATTGTAATCTTAAAACTGACTTTTTAAAAGATAAATTTATTTGGCAAATGTCAAATTATATAGATAACATTACTGTGCTGTTTTGAATCTTTAAAAACATTGTTTTAGATGAGAAAGGATTGAACATTTTACCTTGTATAGTGGAAGCTTATTTTTATTATTTATGTTTTATTTTTATTATTATATGTGGACTTATTAGTAAACTGTTATGTTGACATAAGCCATGACCAGAGGGAAACCATCCTGTTTCAAAAATAGGAAGCCAGCTTGAATTATTCTTACTTGTTTAAAGGTTTCCATCCATATCTGTTGGTCTGCTTTTGTACTTCCTTAGCTCACCTTTTATTCCTGACGCATTGTGGCTTCTCTAACAGCCCTCTTTCATATGTATTTTACGTTTCTGCCATGTAGGTCTTTCACAGTTCTGCAGCCCCAGGCGGGCATTCTCTGAACAGGGTCCGCTCCGCCTGATCAGGAGCGCCTCTTTCTTTGCAGGTTTGCCATGTGCTGTGTGGGTAGACTAGTTGGTGTGCCCCAGCGTCTAGAATTCATAGTTAAGCTGTGGAAACAAGAGAGTAGAGAAACGCAGTTGGGGAAGGTGTAGTTGAGAAAACATTGCTTAGGAAGTTTAAGAACTTAATATCTTTCTACTGAATATGTTCTTAAAGTTTCCAGAAACTAAGTTATCAGTGGAATTGACATTTTCATGAAATTTCAGTTTGTCATTTCTTATTTTGTTATGTAATAATGATTTTAACTTTAGAATCCTAAACCAAAATATAGTATGAACGTTATTTCATATAATACCAGTGGAATTTCTAATGTGACACTATCTTGTTTCCATGGCTGAGTAGCTTCTGTATCATGGTTCATCAATCGCAGAAAATATCCTATCTTACTATTATTGTAAAATTTCTGATCTACACTATTCCATAAGAATGATTTCTCTTGGAGCTAAAATTTGGATGAACAAGCACCGTTATATTCTGTAAAAGGCATATATGACTATGTTTGTTTACATCATTAAATAGATGATTGTCGGGTGTGTTCATGCTTCTGTATCCAGGAAGTTGTATCCAACTTCTTGTTTTAATTAATATTTATTTTTCTTACAAATGTAAGATACAAACAATGTATATATACTATAGAAAATTTGGAAAATATGAAAAATAGGCAAAAAAATATATTAGCCATCTTGTCAACTGGAAATCACCTTCTTATTTTTTTTGTTTGTTTTAAAACAAAATTGGGGTTATACTGTTCAGCTTTCTTAAAATTTTTATTATGGAGAATTTTTAAACATACATTTTTATAGGCAGAATAGCAGACAACCATCATATACCAGTCACTTAGCCCCAGCAACCATCATTCTTACTGGTCAGTAGATTGCCTTTTTTTCATTTAGCAGTATATTGTGAATATATTCATATATCATTGAATATGCTTCTGAAATACTTATTTTAGTCATTCCTTGCTTCTTTAGGTATTATACCATAGATTATTTCATATTATATGTCAAATCTTCAGAGAGATCTGAAAGCTTGTTCAACTGAGTAATAGCTCTTGGTGTTGGGTTTGTGCCATGCTGTTGAAAAAAATAAAGGAATGCAATGAGATGAGCATGATTTAGTTTGCTACATAAAAGGAACAACATCAACCTGAACAGCACTGTATTTTATAAGTCACAGTTTTGTCTTGATTTGCAGTTCACAGCAACCCAATGGACATGCCTGGAAGAGAGCTGAATGAGGACAGAGACAGTGGCATAGCACGCTCTGGTAATGACAGGTTCATGTATTAATCCAATTTTTGATGAGATCACTGTTAGCTGACATTGATTTCCTTTTTTATCTTTGCTTTTATCATCCAGTTTTATGTGCACAGTTTGTTAGTATTGATATTAGCCTTACAAGAGGATGGTAGAAACAGCAGAGATAAATATTTTAAATTAAAAAATTTTCATGTTTAATAGTAAATGTGCCTGGTGGAACACGGCCTGGATGAATACACGCTGGCTTAGGCTTAGCCAGTATAAGAAAAATAATATTGCTCAAGAGACTGCTTAGATAGCATAGTAGAAAAAACACATTTGCTTATATCTGTTTTCTCCTAACTAGGGTTTAAAGTGTCAGACTGTCTCTTGCCCAGAGGAGCTTAGGCATTTTGAGCCAGTGTTATACATATTTCTTTGAAATACGTACTCTTCCAAAATTTGACAAAGTTTTATTGAAACATTGTGAGGATTAAAAAGAAAAAAACAAAAAAAAACCCAGATTCTATCCTTAACGAGCACAGCTTCTAATGAGAGAATAGCCAGGAAAATCATCTGTCATAGTTTATTGTTTGAGGTGTTCTGAGATAGACCTGTGCAGAGGTTCAGAAAAACGGCACCTAACTTAGCCTGGGCAAGGGGCAGGGTGTGAGTAAAGCTTTACAGAGTGTTGATACTTGAAATAAATAGGAGTTATCTGGCCAAAGGCATGAAAGAAGGACATTTCAGTTAAAAGGAAAAGTGTCAGGGCTCAGAGATCAGCATAAGAGAAAGGTGGAGTACTCTTAAGTTTGAATTATTGTTAGGTATGAGAAACTTTATCCACTGTGATTATCTGTATGTGTTGTCACATTGCATGGCTCTGCTATCTAAATTGTTCACAAGTCAGTTTTGAGTCTGGAGATTCCAAACTTCCCATATATTGTAATCCCTAGTTATGCATGAGAAATTTCAAGAAAATTTTTCAGATACCTGGGCTCTACTCTTGAAGATTCTTGATTTACCCTAGAGAAAGGCTTAGGCATCTGTATTTGAGGAACAAAAAATGAAAAACTCAACCACTGATTCTGATGGACAGCTCGAGTTAAGAACCACTACTCTAATAGGAGAAGTCTCATCTTTCAAATAATCTCACCCTTCTTTTCTAATTGAGTTATTTTTGTTCTTAGGAACTAATCTGGAGTGTATTTCTCTTAATACTGTTTGCATCTATGTAATCTAGAGATTTAGTTTTCTGTGGCAGGAATTTAGTTTTCATTATTTATCCAAGATTTCAGAAGTGATAAATTAATGTCTCTATACTTCATTTTCTTCATCTGTAAATTGAAGGGCCTGGCAAGACTGATCTGTAAAGCTTCTTCAAGCCATTGAATTCATATATGCTGTTTAAGTTAATTGTATATTTTCTTCCTTTTTCTGATTGTGTTATTTTTAATACCAGAATTTGATAAAACAGAGCTTTTCCAAATTTAGAGTAACATTTGATTTCTCACAGAAGCCATACCCAGATTAGTTATACATGCCTAATCTTAGACTACAAAGTTTTATACTACTAATTGATAAAATGTGGTATTTTCAAGAAAGTAGTCCAGAATTAATTCATTGGCGGCCCTGATGTTTGCATGGCACATAGAGCTCTCCCCTTTACCGTTGAATTTGTCAGAATTCAAATGAACATATTTTCATAATGATAATCTCTTAGTTTTCAGTCCCGGTATCCAAAATAATATATCATCTGGCATGTATCTTTTTCTAGATGATAATAATACTTCTCTTTTGATTATTTTACAAATTTTCAGTGTGTGTTTATAATGATGAAAATGGGAATCTATAATATTTTTAAACAAAAGCAAGCCCTTGAGGTCTTTTTCTCTCTAGATTAAGTGGAGAGAAGGAGAGAATCCCCCCATAAAAGAAAGGATTTTAGCTTTTAATACCCCAGGCAGGAAACAGAGCTTTTGGATTGCAGAGAAGGGTTTTCAGAAGAGAATAATTTCCATAGTTAGGGGATTGCAGCACTTATAATCAGAGTGGACCCTATTGGGATGTGTCTGTTCCAGAGAGCAGTGTTCCAGAGAGCAATGTTCCAGAGAGCAATCTATAGGATTTACTCTTTCTTGGAGCTTGATAGGTATAGTCATGACTCTTGGTAAAAGTACCCAAGCATTCAGAGGTGGCTACCTATGCACAAGTGATCCATGAGTACTTCTTTTTTTTTTTTTTTGGCTGCCACGCAGCATGTGGCATCTTAGTTCCCCGACCAGGGATCGAACCTGTGCCCCCTGCATTGGAATTGTGGAGTCTTAACCACTGGACCGCCCCGGAAGTCCCTCCATGAGTACTTTTTTTTTTTTTTTTTTGTGGTACGCGGGCCTCTCACTGTTGTGGCCTCTCCCGTGGCAGAGCACAGGCTCCAGACGCGCAGGCTCAGTGGCCACAGCTCACAGGCCCAGCCGCTCCGCGGCATGTGGGATCTTCCCGGGCCAGGGCACGAACTCGTGTCCCCTGCATTGGCAGGTGGACTCTCAACCACTGTGCCACCAGAGAAGCCCCCCTCCATGAGTACTTTTAAATGACGTTTTAAATGGCATTCAAACACTTATTTTCAAATTAGCTTTTGTTCTTAAAATCCAGCTGCTGCATTGGAATTGAACTGCATCGTATTTAATTTAAGGACTAAGGATTCAGTTAAGCTAGGAGACAGTGTCATGGCCAAAGGAATAAAGCTTTATTTCAAAGTAGCATTTTCGTCTGGGGTGGGGGTGGGGAAGGTAAGGATGTCAAAAGGGGATTGTATCAGGGTCTCTTGCCAGCTCACTTTTAGTATGTGATATTTTTCTGGGACCTTGCTCCAACAATGATGTATTTTTTTAAATGGAAATTTTAGAGCCTCATTCAGCAAAATGGAAAATTTGAGTCACCACTCTTAAATTTGTTAAAAAGAAATCTGTTCTTGTTTTTAGTAATTATTAACTTATACATTATACTTGTTCTTACTCTGACTTGACAGCATCTCTCAGCAGCTTGCTTATTACACCATTTCCCTCTCCAAACTCCTCACTTACCCGAAGTTGTGCCAGCAGCTACCAGCGACGTTGGCGACGTAGCCAAACAACAAGTTTGGAGAATGGGGTGTTTCCTAGATGGTAAGTTGGGACTTTTTTTTTTTTTGCGGTACGCAGGCCTCTCACTGTTGTGGCCTCTCCTGTTGCGGAGCACAGGCTCCGGATGCGCAGGCTCAGCGGCCATGACTCACGGGCCTAGCCGCTCCGCGGCATGTGGGATCTTCCTGGACCGGGGCACGAACCCGTGTCCCCTGCATCGGCAGGTGGACTCTCAACCACTGCGCCACCAGGGAAGGCCGGGACTTTTAATTTACCACAAGATTGAATAGTTCCTTTAACACAATTGTGTATGTTAAGAGCCTGGACCTTGTATTTTGTATTTTTCAAGTCTGGAACTGGAAACTTTTAAAGTGTACTACATTTTTAAAAATTGTGGTAAGTTATGCATAACATACAATTTACTATTTTAACCATTATTAGCTGTATAGTTCAGTGGCATTAAGTACCTTCACATTGTTGTGCAGCCATAGCCATTCACGTCCAGAACTTTATCTCCACAAACTGAACCTTTATACACTTTAAGCAATAATTCCCCATTCCTCCCTCCCCTTAGCCCCTGGGAACTACTATGCTATTTTTTTTTCTCTGTAAATTTGATTGCTCTACATACCTCATATAAGTGGAATCATAGAATATTTATCCTTTTATGTCTGCCTTATTCCACTTTAGCATGCCTTCAGGGTTCACCCATATTGTAACATGTATCAGAATTTCATTATTTTTTATGACTAACATTCCATTGTATTCCATTGTATATACATATACATTCCATTGTATATACATTTTGTTTATCCACTCATCTGTCCTTGGACATTTGGATTGCTTCCACCTTTTGGCTGTTGTGAATATGCTGATATGAACGTGAGTCTACAAATACCTTTCAAGTCTCCACTTTCAATTCTTTTGGTTATATGCCCAGAAGTGGAATTTCTGGATCATATCATAATTCTCTGTTGAAGTTTTTAAGGAACTGCCATACTCTTCACCACAGTGGCTGTACCATTTTACTTTCATTCGCCCTAGAAATGGCCAGGGTGTTTTTTTGTTTTTGGCCACGCTGCATATCTTAGTTCCCTGACCAGGGATTGAACACGTGTCCCCTGCACTGAAAGCGTGGAGTACTAACAACTGTACCGCTAAGAAATTTCCCTGACTAGAACTGCACAAGAGTTCTAATTTCTCCACATCCTCACCAGTAGTTAATTTCCTTTTTTTTTTTTTTAGTAATAACCATCCTTATGGGTGTGAAGTGGTATCTCCTTGTAGTTTCAATTTGCATTTACCTGATGGCTAGTGATGTTGAGCATGTTTTTGCTTTCTTATGGGCCATACGTATGTTTTCTTTGATAGTCTGTTCAAGTGTTTTACCCATTTTTTAATCAGGTGTTTTTTTTGGTGGTTGTTGTTGAATTGTAGGAGTTCTTTATATATTTCTGGATATGAATTCCTTATCAGATATATGCTTTGCAAATATTTTGTCCCATTTGATTAGTTACCCATTCTGTTGATAATTTCTTTTGATACACAACAGTTTTTCATTTTTATGTAGCCCAATTTATTTATTTTTTTCTTCTGTTGCCTTTACCTTTGGTGTCATATCCAAGAAACCATTGCCATATCCAGTGTCATGAAGCTTTTACCCTATGTTTTCTTCTAAGGGTTTTATAGTTTTAACTCTTCTGTTTTGGTCTTTGATCCATTTAACTGCATGTTTCGATATTTCAGTTTTTCATGTTTCTATTTTGGCAAGTTAATTCATTCTTGATAGATTTTTTTTTTTAGTCTGTGTTAAGTACAACTAAAGATGATGAAGCTTCTTGTTTCCTTTTTTATTCACTCCCTTTATTCCTTCACCTTTGATTTTATTCCTGGAATCTAAAGGGGAGATAAGTAGATTCTAGAACAGTGAAGAGATTATATCAGACTCATCTATAAACCTTAAAATTCAGGCTCTTTTAGGTTGGTTATACATTGGGATTATCTACTTTTTTAGTGACTTCTAATTGAACAAAAATATTTCCAATCTGACTCTCTATTAAAATTTCTTACAAAAATATGAGTATAAAGGAATAGCCAGTAGATTTCTCAAAGAGATACACAATTGGTATGGATTTTTAGATTTACTTGATAAAACACTGGAAGACCTTTAGCTTGCCTACATTTAATTAGCAAAGGGATTGAATTGTGAATTTAATTATTTTTATATTTTTTTAAAATGAAAAACCATTTATTTTTAAGGTCTATAGAAGAAAGCTTTAATCTGTCAGAGGAGAGCTGTGGCCCTAACCCAGGGATTGTGAGGAAAAAGAAGATTGCAATTGGGGTAATCTTTTCATTATCCAAAGATGAAGATGAAAGTAACAAATTTAATGAATTCTTTTTTTCACATTTTCCTCTGTTTGAAAGCCACATGAACAAATTAAAGAGTGCAATAGAACAGGTAAGCATAGTCATGTTTATGGTTTATTTATATTTTTTATTTTATTTTCCTTTGAATCTTATTCTCTTGTTTAAGCATTGTGTTTATTCATTTGGCAGAAAAATTAACAGAATCTGTGCAGGTACCCTACAAAGTGATCTGAGAGATGCAAAGTAGACTTCAGCTCCTTTTAAGAAGCCTACTACCTAAAAAAAAGATGTAATGTCATTTATCCATTCAATAAATAAGTATTTGAGGGCCTAGAATGTGGCAGGCACTATTCTAGCAACTGAGGATAAGATGTGAAAAAAAGCAACACTCCTGACCTCATGGCATAGAAAATAAACAAATGAATATATAAGATTTTAGATGGTAATAAGTGCTATGGAGAAAAATAAAACAGAGAAAGCTTTTTAAGGAATGCTGGATGGAAGGATTACAAATTTTTATAAGATAGTCAAGAAAGCTCCTGATAAAATGGCATATGGTCCAGAGATATGGAGGAAGTCAGCTATAACCATCTGAAAGGAGTAAGCCTGATGCTTGAGCATCAGCAAGGAGGAGTAAGGATGCCAAAGTGGCTAAGTTAGAAATAGGACCAGATCATGTAGGAATTTATAGGATACCATGGTATGAGCATTGGCATTTACTCTTAAGAAAGATGGGAAACCGTTGGAGTGTTTTGAGCAGGGAAATGACATTATTCATGAGAATCACTCTTACTGCTGATGGAGAATAGATTTCAGGGGCAAAGGTGGATGCTTTGGGATCAGTTACAAGGCTGTTGAAGTAATTCAGGTGAGAGATGGTGGATACTTAAAGCACTTTCGTGATGGAATTGGTGACAAGTGGTTGGATTCTGGATATTTTTGAAAATAGAGCTAAGGAGATTAGCTGATGGACCGAATTGGGGTTAAGAGAAAGAATAATAGAGGTTGACTTGGGATTTTTCTTTTGAGCAGTAAGAAGGATGGAATTGCCAGTACTAAAATGGGAAAACTACAAATGGAACAGGTTTGGTGGAGGAAGATCAGCAGTTTGTTTGCAGTGCCTCCTGTACATCCAAGTTGTTGTGAGTCTAGAGTTTAGGGGAAAGGTCCAGGCTGGACAGTCACCAGTGTATATATGGTATTTTAAACCAAGAAACTGATTGAGAGAGAGAAGAGAGGAGAGGAGATCCTAGGCCTGATTTGTAGAGCATTTCAGTAGTTAAAATTTGAGGAATTGAGAACCAGCAGGGGAGACTGAGGATTGGCCATTCAAATAGGAGGAAAAACAAGAGAGAGTACTTTTAGGGGTGAGCCAGGTGAAGAAAGTAGTTTAAGAGGTTAGGAGTGATCAGTTGTGTCAAATGCTGCTGATAGTGCATGTAATAAATTGATGTAAAGTAAGAAAATTGTGAATATACGATAGAACATAAAGATAACTAAAAAAGAAGGAAAATCAAAGTTTTTTAGGAGTTCATAGGGAAGAAAAATGACTTCCTACTGGGAAGATGTTTCATTTGAACTGTATCTTAAAGGATGTGTAGGGTTTTTTAAACAAAGTTTTGAAAAATGGATATTGCAGAATAACAAGAAAAATTAATATCCTTGTCGCCCAAAGATAACTCATTAACATTTTGCTGAAAGTCTTACCCAGGCCTTTTCTATGTGTATTGTACTTTTACTTGATTGGGACTGTGCTGTGTTCATGCTGTTTTAATTATGTGCCCATTTTGAAAAATTCATCATTGTTAACATACACATTTCTCATTTTAAATGGTTCTTGAATATATTTTAGTGGCTTTCCTCCATTTAAATAACTTTTTTATTAGGTCATTTCTGCTTTTTCACAGTTATAGCTACACTGCAGTTAACATCTTGGTGAATTTTCCAGATTATATTTTATAAGAGATTCCTATAAGTTGAACTATCAGTGGGTGTAACTAAAGTTCTTAATCCCTGTGACAATATGCAGAAAGGAAAAGATACAAAGAGGAGTAGTGAGTGATACAGCTGGCAGAGTTAATGGTGACCAGATCACAGAGAGTCTAGAATGCTTGCCAGAATTTTTGACTTTGTTAGGCTGTCTTCAAATTGTACTATAGGAACATTATTTTGGCAGTATGTTTAAAAGAGACTAGTAAAAGAGAGTAGAGATGCGAGACCAATTAGAATGTTCTAGAAAGCAGAGGATGCATTTCAGTAACTCATTAGTGTCCGAGGATCATCTGCCTCTAGAGAAGACACTATATTAGTTATTTACATTAAATCTGTTAAAAGACAAATAGATTATTAGCAGTACCATTTTACTGAGCAGATGAGTAAAGTACATTTTCATTTACTTTTTCAGAAGTTCAGCACTGGTGACATTTTCTGCAGTTTGCTGCTGTCTCTTTTTGTAGTCTGTTGTTGCCAAAGTCAATACATGGAATATTAAGCTGTGGTTGAACTGACATTTCAGTTACTTGAAGAAGTGTTTAAACTTTGTATAAAACTTGAAATATTCAGGCACTATAGAACTCATTAAACATTACTTTTTAAATGTTTTAATGTTTTGTTCATTCTATACCGAAAGTGCACATTGCAGTACTTAGAGTTGTGTGGATATTTGTTCAAGTTTAACATCTTATTTCTTAATAAAGCTGAAAGATAAAGCTGAGTGAATACTTTCATATAAATGAATAGGACTTAGTTTAGAACGTTCTGTAGTTGGTAATTAATCATAGAATGTAGTAAACACTGAACCATCCAAATAAGTTATGTTCTAGGGCCAGTTTTCAAACTATCACTTACTTATTTTTTTAATGAAAATCTATGGATGCTGTTTCTGAGCACTGTGGGAATTATTTCAAAGTCTGTGCTACCTTTTGAGATCTATAATGTAAAATTTTTTATTGTTGGTAAAATTAAGGAAGAATACTGCTTGATTCTAGCTAAAGAATATTTCTTTATAAATTGGGAGTCTCTCAGCAGTTAGTGAAAACATAAAGTTAACTGTCACTTTTACCCTATTGAAGCTTTTGGATGAACGTGAACAATTCTGGCCTGAAGTAGTCTAACATTTTCTTAAATATATGTTTAAACATTTAAAAAATAATGTGTAATTACATAAGTAATGCATAATTACATATTTTTGATAAAGTTTTAAAAATTTCAAAGTTCTTTCTGATCTCCATATTCTAATCCCGATCCCCTTTTTGTCTACCTAAAGCAGGACTTATCAACTTTGGCTAAATATGTTTTTAAGAAAGCAAATATTACTAATAACTTGATACATCTTTCAGTAGCATCTTTATATTTTAGATTTTAAAAAAGGATTTAGTTAACAGAACCATTGTTTATGAAATATTAGTGAAACCCAGGAGCTGTTGTTACTGACTTATCATTTTATGATCTGTTTGGGAGAAAAAAGTTTTACGTAACCCAGAAACTGTCAACATCATCCTCGTTGTGTGTTGACATTCTGTGGTTTGACAGTTAAGTAAGAGGCTTACCATTGGAGGAATTTGAATTTTATTATACTCATTAAATGACCAAAGGTGCAAAAAAAAATAAATAAAAGAAAGCCACTAGAAATATGTGTGCCTTCTTTATGTATATCTACTTAAGAATGATGGGTAGAATGTTGTGGAAATATGTGACTTTGTCTCTTACTTTTTTCCCCCCCATATTTTGCCCATGATCAGTATAAGAATTAACTATTTGATTGCTTTCAAGGCTATGAAAATGAGCCGGAGATCAGCTGATGCCAGTCAGAGGAGTTTGGCATATAATCGAATAGTTGATGCCCTAAATGAATTCAGGTACCTATTCTCCAGCTTTTCATAATATAGAATTGTTTCGCAGTGTACACTGGAAAATTTATTTATTTTTTTAACTTATTCTAATAAAATTTAATTCTTTAAATTTCTCTGTCCCATAGTCAAATGAGGGTGTAATTCAGTGGGCCATTGACTCCTTTGTTATTAAATATGAAAGTGCTTCGAATTCAAGCACACGTGGGAGGAATCAGTGGTATGGTTTCTAGCACTGGACCACTAGACAAGCAGATATGACCAGAAGAGACCCTTGTTTTAGCAGAAATGTGCTTTGTCCTTTGTTGGGCTCCTAGATGTAGGGACTGATTAAGTGTTATTTAACCAGTGATGGTAATCACATGTTCTTAGATACGTGGAATACAAAGATACATGGATATAGGGAATATGAACTTGATGTTCCGTATTACTCTGTTGCTTAATCCTTTATCTAGCAGTATTTTCTGACACAACAAAGCTTGGAGCCTGAAGCTCCAGCAAGTGCTGTAACTGCACTCTAATTATGGCAAGGAAACATATTACATATGAACTTATGTTGGGAATCACGCTAAGTGACTGATGTGTTTCTGTCTCAAAGAGATTCATTTCAGTTTTACTTCATCCTCTCATCCTCTCAGTCTTTCCTCCTTTAGACTGGAGAAATAGCATAACACTTAGCCCAAGAACTCAGACTTTAGCACCTGACAGACCTGTGGGCTAACCCTGGCTCTGCCTTTGATTTGTTAGCATTTTTGACCCTTAGTTTTCTAATGTAATACCTGTGAATTCAATTTAGTAATAATCTAATAGATTGTTGTAAAGATAGAATTAGATAATGTATGTAAAGTACTTAGCAGAAGACCCAACATTAATGTGACCGCTGTTTTCTATGACAAATATAACCTACAGCAGTGCTTCTTAAAAGTCATTCACAGCTCACCTTCGCAGTATTGCCAAATCTGCATATCATCTATGCCATTTTAATTTGATGTTTCTCTTTAAATTGACCCTATTTTATACCTAAATAAGTGTATTTTAGAATGTGTGCATCGTTACCCTAGATGGGGAATCAACCTTCTTTGCTGTAATAAGCAAGCTGTAAAAATGAATGCATAATAATTAAAATTAAAAATATGTATCTGTGTACACATAAGGTTTATTATCACCAGTAGTCCATGTACCTCACTTTTATTCATTGGCTTGTGTTGTATGGTCCCTTATTGGGTTAGGGGTCTTCTGAATTGTTTGTTTAAATGTGAACTGTTACATTTTGAAGTGAAAGCCTATTTTAGCCTGTGATATTGCAGGGTTGCTATTGTGAAACTGTAGGCATGTCATGTAATATACTTTTTTTTTTAAAATGGAAATGACTAAGGAGTTGTGTATTTAGTAAATTTGACAGTAAGAGAGAACTCATGTTTATTTTCAACTTTGATCCTTTTTTATTCTTCATTTTTCTCTTTTTGTGTTAAACCACAGTGAAAGTAAATCTGGTTTTTTAAACCTCTCTCAAAAGGAGAGATTTCATTGCCTCAGCCATATTCTAGAATCTTTGAATTTATGATAAAATAACTTATTTTCCTAAATAAAAGGTATGTTTTATAGAAGTGTTCTGTATGATTTTTGAGGTAGAATTATAGGTAAGCATTAAATAGCAATTGTATGGTAAAAATAACCTAAATTAATATGGAATATTTCATCATGTTTTTAATTTATTTCAATTGAAAATGTTTACTTGGCAATTCCCTGATGGTCCAGTGGTTAGGATTCTAAGCTTTCATTGCCGAGGGTGCGGGTTCGATCCCTGGTTGGGGAACTAAGATCCTGCAAGTCGCACGACATGGCCAAAAAGTTTTGTAAAAAATTTTAAAAAAAGTTTGCTTTATGACTGTTGTATAATATTCATTGGCTTTATTCAGTTATTGAGGAGGAGAAGATTTTCTAGTCATCTGTTATTCACCATAATTTTTAGGATAAAAGATGTTAAACGTGAGTTTTTAAATCTTTCTTGTGCAGTAAACACAGTGGTTAGAGGAAATGTACAGAAAAACACATTAGAGAATTAAATTTCAGGCTTTATTATTTCTTTTTTTGTCTTGCAAATAATTTGTACTGGTGAAAATTATGTTAGAGCTAATATTTTCTGCCATATATTTTTGTTAACATATTCATTTTAGGCCTTTCGTAAGTTATCAAATGAAGCATGCTAACAAACAATACAGTATTAAAAAAACTTTTTTTATTGTGGTAAAAGTAAAACAACATTAAATTTAACATTTAACCATTTTTAAGTGTACAGCTCAGCAGTGTTAAATACATTCACATTGTGTAACAAATCTCTATAACTTTTTCATCTTACAGTGTTAAAACTATAAACACTCAACACTAGTTTAGTAATATAGTATTTTTAATCCGTCTGTTTCTTTAGTTCATTGGCATCTTCACTCTTTATATATGAATTATGTGTGAAGCTATTCATAATTTCATTTGTTCATACCTTAAGAATTCAGGTTATTACATTTCTGGTGCCATTCATGATTAAATCAAGTTTTATATACATAAATGTTTCTTATAGATGAAGTATAGAGGAAATGAAGTACATTCCCTCAATATTTCTAGATGGAATTTCAAACAAATTTAATGAGCTGACTTTGCTTGGCTGTCTGTATTATCTTCATAACTTCTCAATTCATGTAGACCTCTTTGTATGTTTCTAAAAGCTTTCATGTGAAAGCTCAAAATTTGATCGTTTTATGAACATACGATTATATAAATAATTTTATGTCAGGATGTTTGCTTAAAATGAGAATTTCTTTGAGGTGTTTTGTTTTTTGGCCGCACCCTGCGCATGTGGGATCTTAGTTCCCCGACCAGGAATCAAACCCACGCCCCCTGCATTGGAAGCATGGAGTCTTAACCACTGGACCACAAGGGACGTCCCAAGGTGTATTTTTTTGTTTTGTTTTGTTTTTTTGTTTTTTTTTGCGGTACGCGGGCCTCTCACTGTTGCGGCCTCCCCCGTTGCGGAGCACGGGCTCTGGACGTGCAGGCTCAGCGGCCATGGCTCACGGGCCCAGCCGCCCCGTGGCATGTGGGATCTTCCCGGACCGGGGCATGAACCCGTGTCCCCTGCATCGGCAGGTGGACTCTCAACCACTGTGCCACCAGGGAAGACCCTCCAAGGTGTATTTTTAAAAATTAATTTAAAGATACTTTTTGTATGATTCAAGAGGTAAATTATACTGAGTTGCTTAAAGCAAATGTTAATGATTTAGGCTGCATTGGATAAATTTTCTATCAATAGATTTGATATTTCAGTAAGTGTTCTACAGTTAAAGAAAAAGAGGGGCACATTAGGCTCAACATAAATGCTTTTCTATTTTATCTATGTTGAATAAAGTTACTGAGACCAGGTTAACAGGTAGGTGAGAGAACTCCAGCCAGCACACATTTTACTTGGCCTCCTTGTTTTTTACAAACATTTGAACCTTTAGGCCTTTAAGCCAGACAAGCTCTCTCTAGTTTGCCATAAGCTCTATCTCTGCCAGTTGTATTAACCCATATATCGTATAATTTTGTAGCGTCCTGGCCACTGAGCATTATTAAAATTTAAACGTCTGTTTTAGGGGTTGGTGATTTATATCCACTAATCTAGACCCAATTCTCTTTTACTCTGTAAATTCAGTCTGATTCTCTTCCATTTTCTGAAACTATCCATGTTTGTATCTTTGGAGCAAGCGCAATACAGGCTGAATAATGAACCCTCTTCTGGAGTGTTGGGAATGGGAATGAAAAACAACAAAACAAACCGTGAACAAAATGGTAGATTTGGAGACGTGGCTATCTGTTATATCCTCTATTTCTTGGCCACTCTGTATTATTAATTAAGAGTGTAAATAGCTTAATTTCACATATATATGTGTATGTACATATGTAGATATATATGTGTATATACACATGTAATTAATAGATTTAATTCTAACAGTGTCAGAGTTACAGAATAATTGAGCTAACAGTTCAGAAAGTTTTTGCATATAGCTCTCTCCCCACTACCCATAGTTTCACTGATTATTACCATATTTCATTAGTGTGGTATATTTGTTAAAATTAATGAACCAATATTGATACATTATTATTAACTAAAATCCGTAGTCTGCATTGAGTTCCGTTCTTTGTATTGTACAGTTGGATGCGTTTTGAAAAATGCATAATGTCCTGTTTCACTATTACAGTATCAGACAGAGTAGTTTCACCACTCTGAAAGTCGCCTATGCTTCACCTATCTATTCTTTCTCCCTTCCCACCAAACCCGTTGACTACTGATCTCTGTCTATAATTTTGCCTGTTTCAGAATGTCATATTCTGGGAATCATATAGTATGTAGCCCTTTTAGACTGGTTCTTTGACTTAGCTATATGCAGTTAAGATTCTTCTATGTCTTTTTTGTGGCTTATGGCTCATTTATATAAAAAAATTCACTGTGTAATATCCCACTGTGTGGATGTACCGCAGTTTCTCCATTCACCTCAATTGAAGGACATCTTCTTGATTGCTAGTTTTTGGTGATCTTCTTGATTGCTAGTTTTTGGTGATTATAAATAATGTTTCTCTAAACATTCATGTGCGGGGTTTTGTATAGACTTAAGTTTTCAGTTCAACTGAGTCAGTACCTAGGAGCATAATTGCTAGATGTTCACAGAAGACTGTGTTTGGATTTGTAAGAAACTGCCAACTGTCTTCTAAAGTGACTGTATCATTTTGCATTCCCACTAGCAGTTCATTAGAGTTGCTGTTGTTCCATATCCTTGTCAGCATTTGATATGTCAGGTTTTGTTTTGTTTTTTTTTTAACTGTACTAATAGATGTGTAACAGTATTTCATTGTTTTAATTTGCAGTTTCCTAATGACATATGAGGTTGAGCATCTTTTCAAATACTTACTTGCAATGTATATATCTTTGTAGGTGAGATATCTGTTCAATCTTTCGTCCATTTTTAACTTGGTTTGTT